CTTCAGTCCTAATCATTCTCTCTGTGTGACCAAACCACTTGAATGGGCTTCTTACGTACAGTAGTCACCACTCATTCACGTTTGCATTCAAGCCACACTCTTTCATTCTTGACCCTTTTTGTTTTACCACGCACACTTCCTGCTGCCTTCAGTTTACTTTTAAGTTTCTCTTGACATACCCAACTTTGACTTACCAAACTCTCACCTCTCGGTAAGAGAGGTGTGAGTTGGGTGGGCAGAAGCAAGCCCTCACAACAGACATGTATTACCCTCTACCTTTTCACTAGCATTTGCATATCTTAACATTTCTCTCTTGGTGTCCACAATGGGGGGAGGGGGCTCAAAATTGTCAAGATGGCAGAATTTCACAATGCCAGCCCCATTCCTTTTGTGTCTATGTCATACACCTGTTTGAAAGGACAGAGCTTACATCCCAATATTTTGTCTTCCATCTTACAGACCCCCCTACAGATGCTGCTATCTCCATCCGTTTCCCCATAATTAGTAAACATTTTATTAATGTATCTAAGTTTTTCATTATTTATGTATCTAGCAATCACTCACCCCTTTTTCCCTGTCAGACACAACTGTTTTGGGTTTCAGTATATTAATTTTCAGAACTGAACTTCTTGCTGCATCGTACAACCTATCATTAGTTATATGTTTGCTCAGCCAACAATATGACATCATCTACATACAAAAGTACATTTACGTCAGTGTAATACATCTTTAATGTCACCACAAGCATTCCTTGCTCATTTGTCTATAACTAAGGGAGATCATGCATTCTTGCTCCACTCCCCACTCAGCACTGAACCATTTGCTGAGCATCCCATATATTTTCATAAATGCTGTAATTCCATCATATACTGCTTTTTAATGCTGTAAGAGGAGTATATGATGGAATTACAGCATTTATAAAAACAAACAATCTTCATTTCCATATTTGCACAGACTAAGCCATAATTCAAGCCGATTCACTTTATTATATGCTTTCTCTGAATCAACCAATATATGGTAAACTTCCTTTCTCACATTCATATACTGTACTTCTCTATAGTTTTCTAAAGAGCAGAAGTTTGATCTGCATAAACCTGAACTACACTTCCCAAATGTTCCCTTACACCGCTTTCAGTCAGAATTCTGCCAAATGGCTTCCCAGACATACTTAACAAGAAGAACAACAAAAATTCCCTGTAATTTTTGCATTCATTCTTGCTGTCTTTCTCTTTGTACAGGGTGAAGGGAAAGATTAACAGCATGCAACTATCTTCTCTCCCTATATGCACATGATACAATATCTTTCATCCTCATTTTTTGAAGCAATAATTCTTTTATATGCATTTTTTAAAATCCAGAGCCTCTTTTATTCCATCATTCCATCAAGCACCCCTTTTCATTCTTCCCAATAGTGTAGCTGCACACACTTCCACATCCTCTTTCTGTATTTCCAATCATTTTCTTGGAGGATGGATCTATCATCTAATGCCTTCTCATACAGGACTCATACTATCCGTTAATGCAGCTGTTCTGCTTTATGCTAGGGGGTTTTTTCCCTTCACTTCTTTCTTTTTCTTTGATATCCATTTTTTCTCATATCTGCTTTTGACTCTACTCTTCACATCCAGAACCTCTTATCACCCTTGTAACCTTTACTGATTGTTATAATCTTCTTTTCGTAGCCAAATTAGCCATCCTTCGCCTCATATACTGTATGTATAGACTTATGCTCAGATTTAGTATTGGAAAGAAACAGACAATTTTCTAAGCAGATACTTTCGAATAGTCACCACTCTAATTCATTCTTCAGGCTCAGAATGGTCCAGTCACGTTTTATGTACTCTCTCATCTTGTTCCTTCCCCTCTATTCATGTAACGTAGAATAGTAACGCCCCCCTTCCAGATTACATTCATGTAGAATGTTGCATAATTATTTTCCATACTGCATCTCTAATTCTTCCATTATCACCATTCACTGGAGCGTAACACAAAACTATCACATCTTATGTTTTATCAACGGTCCATTTGATTTGTGCAAAAGTGGCAGAATACACACTGCAAAAGCATGATAGACTATTTTTCAGAAGTAGTGGAAGGTGCTTCTAATCTGCTGTTATTGTCTCTTGGTGCTCGCAACTTGGAGAAAAACTTGGGGAACAGAAGCTCCCTATGCTTTGATTGGAAGTTCCCTCCGTCTGCTCCACTGATTTTATCGCTGCTACACTTCCATATTTTTGCCAACAAAACTTCACAATTGTGTCCATATGTCATCAGGATTTGAGATTAGTGATGGAAATGTTACATTATTATTGAAAGGTAGTCAACAGTTTGAAGTGGGGGTTGCCCCTGTATCAGCAGTCAACTAGTTTATTGTAATAGTGCTAGATTACTGTAGAGCAGTGTTGTCCAAACTTGGCCACTTTAAGATGAGTGGACTTGGCTGGCTGGGG